AGTAAAGACTGGCGAACGCAGAAAGGACATGAAAACAACTTGTCACTGCACGTCAAAGGATTTGTCCTGCGGCACACTGGAGAGAAAGCGGGGTGAAACGGATCACATGAAATAACTGCCAACAGGCGTGTTTGGAGATTTCTCCGGATGACTGTTCTTACTAGGCGCTCGCTCAGCAGCCGGCCGCGGCAGCACATCAGCTAGAGGTGATCGAAGTGGTGAAGTCGGTGGTGTTGTCTTGGGAGAAGGGGAGAAATCCGGTTGTGAATGTGGTGGTGGTGAAGCTGCTGGTGAGGTGGGTGTTGGTGAGGGGGAAGGTACTTGTCGTGATGGATCTGCTTGTGGTGGTTTGGAGGAAAGTTGTTGGTCTTGTAGATGTTGCATGTCTTTGAGTTCTTGCCATCGGGCTTGGCACTGCTCGACGGAGAAACCAACTCGGCGAGCAACAGAAACCCAGTTGGGACGGAGTCGAGGGTTTCCTTTGAGTTCAACCAGGCGACAATCAGCGTCGCCGTCCCATGCGTCCCAGTCTGCTTGCTGGTTCAGTGGTGGTGGCAGTGGCTGCTTTCGCTTGCGCGTTGTAGCAGGTTGTGGGGCTGGGGCCGTTGATGGTGTGTCGTCGGAGTCTTTTGAGGGTGGCGCTGGTAAGCGAGTGGGTGGTCGAGAAGGTGCTGAGTCACAGGAGGAGGTGGTGGACGGTAAACGTATAGGGTGAGTTGGCGGAGTTGGTAGTGGCTGAAAATGTTGGCGGAAAGTGGGATCCGCTTGGTGGATGTGGTGGAGAAAGTGAGTGTGAAGGTGCGCTACAAAATCTGTTGCTTGTCTGAGCAGGTTTTGGACCTGCGAAAGTGTCACAGTGGTCTGATGTAAGAGAGTTTGGGCGTCGTTGTGTGGAGGTGTCGTTGCGCTGCTCATGGCCTAAAGATAGAGAGATGTACAGTCACACAGGGTCGTCACAGGTTGCTGCGGCAGCGCGGCAAGGCAGCTGGACGGCAGCTGGTCAGCGTGAGCACGTCATCACGGGGCCATGCATATGAATGAAACGAGCATCAAATTCCCGCGGGCATGGTTCGAAAAACGCGCAGGTCCGACTGAAAGATCAAACGCACAAAACTCCAACATGCGATGAAGACATCATCTGAAAAGCTGGTAAAATTCGGAATGATATTCTGCAGAACGAAGCCGTCAAAGCTTGAAAAGTTGAAGGCGCAAAAAGTCGAGTGATCGCTGCAAAAGTCTTTTCGCTGCTATAGGCGAAGGTTTGTGTGGTGGTGTGAGACAAAAGGTGGAGGCGGAGGTGGTAGCGGTGTGGAGGTGTTGGACAGTGGTGTTACATGTCGGGTGGAGTGGAGTTGGTGGACCAGGCCAGTCCTTTGACGATGGCGTGGTCCGGGTGGATCACCCAGCAGCGGCCCTTCTGGCGGAAAACGGCTCCGTGGTAATCGTTGAGCAGGGTCATGGCGTGTTCCTCGCCGCCTGAGGTATATTTTGTGGCAGCGCCCCAAGCAAGGAGTGTGATGATGATGGAGTGGGAGTTCTTGTGGAGTTGCCATGTGTTGTGGATGATGCGAGCAAACTCGCTTTGATCATGGGGTTGATTGTGGGTGATGCGGACGCCCTGGGCAAAAAAGCCAGGGTAGTTGGCAAAGTGGAGTGCGCTGGGTAAAAATCGACCTTGGCGTAGAATGTTGGCAATGTTGCCGACCGGGCCTGTATGGCCGGCATTGATGTGGGCGACTTCCCGGTGGGTTGAGGTGGCTCGGGAAACCGCGGGTGGTTCAGGTGTGGTGGCCTTTGTGTTGAGGAAGGGAAGTGAGATGGCGTTGTATTGGAATTGGTCGTATTGGCGAGTGGTGTCGTTCCACTTGGCGTGGGTATATTGTCGGAAATCGGTGATCTCCTTGTAGGTGATGTTGCAGTCGGTGAGGAGATTGGCGATGTACTGGTGCTGTGGTCGGTTGGGGGTGTCGAGTTGGTTGGCGTGGAATTCGAACCATTCGAGAAGTTGGTCTGCAGGTGAAAGAGCTTGAAAGTTGGGTGGAGGTCGCCAGCGGTTGAGTGGGCGACGGAGGACTGCTGCGGTGGGATATTGAGAGGGGTCGGTGTTGGTGTGTTCGGTGTTGGGGCGTAAGTCGATGGGTTGTGGTGAGCGGCTGCGGGAGGGTGTGGGGCTGTATGAGTAAGTGGATGTTGAGGATCGGCGTCGCCGGGTTGTGCTGTGGTGCTTTGAGTGGCGGTGATGTCGATGCCGGCGGCGGTGGCGGTGGCGCCCTCGGTAGTGATGATCAGACTTGCGTCGGCTCTTATGGTGGTGGCGGCGACTGCTGTGTTGTGGCTGTGGGGAAGGTGGTGGCGGCGCCGGTGAAGCGGCGCTGTCGGGCTTGTCTGTTGCAGGTAGTGAAGGCGCAGGGGCTGGTGGAGCTGAAGCGACGGATGGTGATTCGGAAGGTTGGGAGCCAGTGGCTGGAATGGTCAAGTTTGGGACCGGTGTTGAAGGGTCCGTGGCGGATGTGGTGACATGTTGGACCGGTGGTGTGGGGTCCGATGGCGCCGGTTGTGGGATTGAGGGTTGAACTGGTGGTGGAGCGCCGATGGCTTGTGGAGGCGGCGGCGGAGGCAAAGGTTGAGGTGGAGGTTGTTGTGGAGGTTGTGTGACTGGGGGAAAAACGGAGTAAGGTTGCCAAACTCCCTGGGGGATGGTGCATTGCGGGTCTGTGGATGGATGATGGGCAACTGTTGCTTGTTGTGGTGCTGGAAGTGGATGGGTCTGCGTGGTGGGGGTAGGTTCAGCAGGTGGTGTGGGATGTAGTTGTGGCAACATGTAGGAAGGGGAAGGTGCTGCGGATGGAAACACTTGAGTTGGGTGGGTGGGTTGCGGTGGCGGTTGGGATGGTTGCACAATCGTCCAGGTGGAAGGAGTGCCGTAGGACAGTGCAGTAGCGGCTGGAAGGGGCATAGTAGGTGGAGCTTGATATGGTTGTGGTTGTGGATGAGGGAATGCCGATGGTTGTGGCGAGGGAAAGGTGGGTGCAGTTGGCGGCTGCGGCAGCGGCCATGTGGGTTGAGGTTGTGTAGTAGGTAGTGGTGGTGGTGTGGTGTGAGCATATGGCCAGGGAAAATGCATGACGTAGTCGGACTCGTCGGTGGTGAGAAACAGCGCTGTGTAGTGAAAGCTTCGCTATGGCACGGCGCGGCGCAGCGGCAAGGATCCAGCTGAAAAGTGCCAAGTTGTATTGTCATAGTGATGTTGAAAATCTCATCGCTCGTGTTGACGGGGAGTGTGTTGTGAGGCTGAGCAGGGTGTGAGCTTGTTGTCATGTGCGAGCATGCATCTCGAATTAGAGTTTCAGAACTCCAGTGCACAAGCTTGAGTTCTGCTGATGAAAGGATCACGGCATCGATCTGAAAATGCAACATGTGGAAAATAACATGTATGACTGATCCGAAAGCCGGTGGAAGAGAAATCTGCCGTGTTTAGGCCCGGCGGCCGATGCATCTGTTGATTCAAAGGGTGTGTCAATGACTTCCAGTGGAAATCCGGGAGAGGTGGCATGTTGGGTTGGTTGCTTACCGATGTAAAACTGCGCCCCTGTGACGGGGATCACACTCAGCACCCGAGTGGGACGGCTGAGCGAAACACACTCTGACATTGGTTTTCAGTGACTCTGTTACCACGTTGAGAAGGAAGGCGATGGAACCGCAAGGTGGAAAGGTCAGCTGAAACAGTATTGTTGAACAATGTTGGCACTCGCAAACGGCGGAAAGCGAACCGGCTGCACAGCTGCTGCGGACGAGTGTTTATGGGGTGGAAAACGTGAAGAACCATGAATCAAAAGTGGAAGATTGGAGTAACAGCTTGTGAAAGAACGAGCAGGTACGTCGGCCAGCGTCCTGGCCGATATCCTCAGGACACTGCAGAGAGCTTTGTTAAGTGGAGCTCTGCAGGCCTGCTCCACTCCCCTGCCTGTAGAAGGTGGTTGAAAAAGGTAGTTGAAAAACGTGGAAGGAGTAGCGGTGGAAAACCCTTTGTCCAGGGGTGGACACACACGCACACACGCGCGCCTCCCCGAAGGGGGGCATGTGTAGCCTCCATCCTGCCAAGGAGGCACCCCCATCCGGCCCGGAAAGGGGTTACGCGAGGCACACGCGCGCGCAAACGAGACAGATGAAAATGAAAAGGACGAGACAGACAAAAAGTGTGTGTGTGGTTGCCGATGAAGAAGAACCAAGTGAAGAGGGACAACCGATGAGCCAAACCTCAGCAAACCTGGGCCAACCTAGTTGTAAGTAGAATACGCGTGCGTGTATGTGTACAAGCTAAGGTCCGGACGAAAGCGCGCGCAAGAGAAGGAAAGGATGAGGATGAAGAGACATTAAGACAGAAAGACATGAAAGAAAAGAAAGGAAGACGTTTGCGGGCAAATGAAAGGGGACAAACCAATCACAAACCCAAACCTCATTGAGAAACCTGTTGCAGAAGCCTTGTTTGCGCGTAGGCACGCCGCGCGCGAGAAAGGAAGGGGGGGGAAGGGGAGGAAGAAAAGAGAAGGAGAAAAAGCTACGACACAAGCGTCCAGGGCCAAAGGTAGGGGCCAACGCTAGTGGGTAGAGGCCAAAAAGTTCGGGGGCCTACCTGCAAACCTATAGAGTAGACTAGAGGAAAACAGAAGGACAGGCGCCGACGCGCAAGTGTGTCGAGTACCATTTCCTCCTGTTTGCCTAAATAGTGGAGCAGGTACGCAGGGCTGATCAGGCCCTGCTTCCCACTCTCGCCCGCAGCTTTGTTGCGTGTGGTAGGGCGAGAGTGCCACACGCCCCTACTCCAAACCGAAAGGTTCCCTGTGAGTCCAAGGGTTGCACACGCGCACACACACACACACGCACGCACACGCAGCAGCGCGCACAAGCAGCAAGCAGCAGCGCAAGTCGCATTGATCCTTTCTCGAGGGGTGCGTGCAACGACTGAAGTGTTGAAATCAAGGCGGTGAAGCCGCCCCAAGGTACTTGACTGCTGATTTATGGTGCGAGGACGCGACGGACAAAACCAGTGACAAATTGGACTCGTTTTGAGACACTGCAGCTCAGTGTGTCAGGCGGTTGAATGTCAAAGACAAAGGGTCGACCTTCAAATTTTCCTGGTTTGGATGAGGAGGGCTGTCCAGACGGCTATTTTCGAAAGGGCACTGACAACGCACTGGGACGTAGTTGCGCTCCATGTCCTGAGAATGCGTTGAAGTGCATCGGACCTGCTTTGATCACTGAATCTTGCCAGAAGCCAGGTGTTTGATCATGAACACTACAAAGTTGGGCTGAATTCGGGATGGAATTTTTGCCAAGGAATGCCGGAACTGGTTGTACTTGACCCCAGATGGCACGTGTGCGCCAGGCTGTCCACAAGGCAGACTCCGCGCTTGCGCGCTTGTCAGACGGACCAGGTATTTTTTCACCAAACAGTGTGGACACACTTAGGGGTTTTTACGGTAATGGAAAAGCAGCTGTGCTTAGATTGCTATGCCGCGCGGGCCTCTCCGGCTAATTCGCTGCTATTTACACATTCACGCCTCCCAAGATTGTCCACATGCATGTCGACTGCGCAGGCTCGCAGAATCTGAGTGTCTGCGGCGGGTGCTTCGAACGACTGTGCTCTCGTTGTGGCGCCGCGCGCATTTTCGCACACGGCGGTCACTTTTCGTGGCGCGCGCAGAAACGTCGACTTTTCCTGGCAGGCGCAAGGGATCGGAGCGGCTTTTGCTTCGAAGTGCAGATTCGTGGCAGGCGCGGCGCTTTGGATCTTCGAGGCGCTCTGATTTCGTGACTGACACGCGCAGTGAATCGTGACTCGTGGACATGTGGCTCGTTTGCAGGTTTCGTGGCAGGTACAGCACTTTGTGAGCCTCGACGTGCAACAGGCACAGCGCTTTGTGAACCTCGGCGCGCAGGTTTCGTGACAGGCGCAGCGCTTTGTGAGCCTCGATGCGCAGATTTCGTGGCGGCTACGAATTTTGGAGTTGCTCGGCGGGGATCGTCGGACAAATGTGAGGCGCCATGCGAATTTCCAGTGACTGTTGTCGAAAATGAAGGCGGAAATTGCCAAAGTGTGCAAATTGTCGCCGGGCATGAAGGTGGAAGTTGCCATGTGAGTCGTGAGCAACGGTTCAGAATATCAAGGCCAGAACTTGCCCAAGTGTGTAACTGTCGTGGAAAACGAAGGTGTAAATTGGTTTACAGCTGTGGTGTATCTGTGGTCAAAAAGGAAAGTGAAAGCTGCCAATATGAATGAAGGTGGAAGCTGCCAGCGTTGCCAAAGTGCATAACTGTCGTCGAATATGAAACTGGAAGTCGCCAGGCCAGCAGAACTGAAGCTTTGTAGTGCCCGTGTAACTTTACCGCGCAAATGTACTACGGGAAGCAGCTTCTGAGCTGGGGGCCGTGGCCCCAGAACTGGCAACTTTGTGGCGCAAATGTTGCGCAGGAAGTGGCTTGCGAGGATGTGCAAATGTAGCGCGATGTAGCGCGGGAAGTTGGCTCAGCGCAAATTTGCTATGGCGGGAAGCAGGTTGGAGCTGTGGTATAGTCTGTGGCGCGCAGCGAAATGAAACGTCGGTGATGTCGCTGGCCATGCGGATTTATGCTGCTTTGGTTGAAACGGTTTGCGCGGCTCCGGGCCATTGGGCAATGAAAAGCATGCGTAAGCGCGGCGGATCGCTGGGGGTAGGACGATTGGGGGTGTCCACGGGGATTGGTGTTACCTTGTTGTGTCTAGTCTGCGGCACACTGTGGGTAAAATTACGTTTGTGATGTCGCTGTGCCAGGCGGAAGCGTTCAGCCTCAGTGGAAAGCGTGCTTGCGTGGCTCCGCGCCATTGAGAAACGAAGAACATGCGCGCGTAAACGCGGTCTGTGTCGCTGGGGAGCAGGATGAGTGGCGGTGTCCACGAGGATTGGTGTTACATCAAGGGCTAGTCTGTGGCGCCATGTGCAACCGTGCAGCCTCAATGGAAAGCGTGCTTGCGTGGCTCCGTGCCATCAATGAAGAACATGCGCGCGTAAATGCGGCATGTCAAAGGGAGCGAGCCTGTGGCATGCGGATGTGCGCGGCCTCAGTGGAAAGTGTGTGTGTGTGTCCACCCCTGAACAAAGGGTTTCCTTCGACCACTCCAATCAGGCAGGGGGATCAGGGACGTTTGGCTTGGCCTGATCCAACGAAGCTCCAGCCATTCGTCAGGATATTCTCGAGGGACGCCTTGAGAACGTACCTGCAAAGTGCTTCACAAGCTGTTACCCTCCTTTTCCGCTTTTTGATTCATGGTGGTTTCGCATGATACCTTCCCGCAAACCTTTCTTCTTCCCCAGCAGCTGCGCCGCCATCTTGATCGTCTCGCAACCGTTTTGAGTGAACAATGTTCAACAATACTTCTCAGCGGACTCTTTCGCCTTACCGTTCCATCACCTTCCTTCTTATCGTGAACTTGCATTAACGGAATACAAGTGTCAGAGTGTGTTTCGCTCAGCCGTCCCACTCGGGTGCTGAGTGTGATCCCAGTCACAGGGGCGCAGATTTTGCATGGGAAAGCAACCGCCACAACGCACCACCACTCACTGGACTCTCACAGGAAGGCACCGACACCCTCACCGAATCAACTGACATACCGGCCGCCGGGCCAAAAAACGGTTCTTGAAGAATACATCGGATATCAGCTTTCAGATTTCGGATCCGTCATGTTCACTTCTCCAAGTCATGTTTGTTTTTCCACGAGCCTGAACCTACTTGACGGCTAAGTATTCACATACCTGCGCTGCTAAGTATTCACAGGCCGGATGAATTCATCATGCACA